AACCCCACGATACAAGTAACCCTCTCATAATACAAGTAACACCCTACAAGTAACCCATACGAATAACCCCAGAATACAAGTAACCCTAAAATACAAGTAACCCGTGCCGCACTGAAAAACCTCTGTCAATTAAATTAGTTAGTAATAAACAAATCCTAGTAAGATTAAATTTAATTAATTAAATATATATTGGAGAAGCTATATATATATATATATATATATATATATATATACATATATATACATATATATATACATATATATATATATATATATATATATATATATATATATATATATATATATATATATATATATATATATATATATATATATTAAGTCCTAAAGGGATTTAGTGAAATAAATAGTGAAGGTCGGTTACACTTTAGTATTACTTGCTCCTCAAATCCTCTTTAATTAGTTTTACTAAAGCATTTTATCTTGCATTAGTAGCCTTCATGTTTTTTTTGTTCATGACAAACATATGTATTACTTTTTTATACTGTTCTTTTGTCTAGACAAGTTGATTATATCGTTTGATTAAGAAATCTTTATAGCTAGCCCTTTGATTAAGGATAAATGTATAGTCCTTACTCCTTAGAGCTAATATAAGTTGCCTAATTATATAGTCACTGTCACCATAGCTAGCAATATTTGGGAAGCTCTTTCGGTTTGGCCTTACATCACAACTTTAGTTGTTAATAACATTAATGAGGGTATATAAACAAATATTTTTAGGGTATATAAATGTCCGTACACTATTCTTAAGAGCTTTGAAAAAAAGAACTAATTTAGATTAATGGGGCAATTATTCTTAGTAAATAAACATTGAGAGGGTATAATTGTCCAAACAATATTCATAAGAGTTATAATTATCTCATACTTAAAAAAAAAAAAAAAAAAACTAAGATAGGGATGTTCTATAATAATTCATTTATTTTAGATAAAATAAGTGTTAGATGTGGCCCAAATTTTATAAACCTGTTATTTGGTGGAGTATGTATGCATAGTCCAGAGGTTTTCAGAAAAATCAAGAAAAGTTAGTCCTTGCCCATATTTTCTATCTCTAGAATTAGCTATTTTGTCATCCTAGAAAATTCTTGACATTGGAAGCAACTAGAATACATGGTTCATGCATCTTTATAGAATACTATGGATACAAGAGTAATGAAATAAATTTTGGAATCTTCCGAGCATTTCTTCCAAGCTCCATCTTTAAATATAAATATGAGTCTTGGGCATTTAATAAAGGTAAATACACACACAAAAAGCCATATATATGCATAAGCCTTTCTACCTTCCTCATTCTTATACTCTCCTATTTTCATATATTATACAGTGGATTGGATTATTTTCGGTGCTATTCACTCATATATTTTTTGATAATTTTTTCCACATTAAATATTATGCGTCCAATTCTCTTTAACTATTTAATTTGCCTTTATTTATCTTTCTCCTAATTATTATCTCAATTTCTACCTTTTCGTTGTACACTCCATCAAAATAAAAAAAAAAATTCTAAACTTGTTTTCATGCAAAACGTTATGATTTTGTCATGATTTCATTCCTTAGTAACTTGCATATATATCATCAAATATATGTTTGTATAAGACAATTATTTTATGATCCTAAATATTATTGTGAATGATTGTGAAATTCAGCATTCAAATTATCAACATAAACATTATCAAATTCTGTTTCTATCATAATCTAATTCCAATAGAAAAATCAAATGGAGTATGAAGGCGTATGATAGTTTTTTCAAGTTCCTAATTAACCCTACATAATAACCTTGGATTATATATGTACACTGACTCCTATCAACCTAACATAACAAAAGTAAAAAAAAAACCAGTTGTAATAGTGTCAAAAATAAAGGATTAATTAAACTACTCAACCATACATCTACCTATTAAAACAAAAACATACATACTCAGTGGCGAACCCACGAAGGCACAAGGGGCAGCACAGGCTACCCCTGGAAAAAAAAAAAAAGTTAGGTCAAAGAGACCAGTTATCTCAAATAACTGGTCTCTTAGAGGCTGTTACAAACAAATGCAAATCTAGCGCCTTTTTTATGTTAATATAAAAGAGACCTATTATATAAAAACAGGTCTCTTAAGTTCTGATTGTTTTTCATGTTCAAATAAAAGAGACCTGTTTTATATAAAACAAGTCTCTTAAGTTCTGTTTTTTTAAAAAAAAAAAAAATTAAAACAAAATACTTTTACTTATTATTTTTTTTGAAAAAATTCTTTTACTTATTTTTGTACATATAATTTATATTTTTTAAAAAGACCTTCATTTAAGTTATTTTTTATTTTTATTTATAATATACTAATATAAATTATCAGTAGTTTTTTTTTTTTTTTAAATGTTTATGGTATTCTTTTTTAATTTTGATCATATTGATAACTAGAATATGACTTATTCCATATTTGTGAAATGAAAATTTATCTACCAAAATAATTGTTTTAAGATTTAATGACTAATTATTAAAGGATAATACTACTATACTAGTATACTTTTTTTAATTTTTTTTTCCTTTATTTTTTCATGTGTAGACACCTAGAAATGTCTCCGCAAAACCAAACTCAATGATGAACAACCTTTCAGCGCCATTATTGGTCGGGTTGGGTATTTAATTGTTGGAGTGCTTAAATCCATATTTCCATTTCATAAACCAACCCAATTCCTAGCCCATTTCCCCAAACCATAACTTATTTTACTCTTTTCGTGCCTTTAAACCCAAAATAATTCATTTCGTGTCCTTTAAAATCATTCATTTCGTGTTCTTTTTATAAAAACGTTTAATCCAGTTTATTGTGGTCCATAATATGGGTCTAATGATTGAATATTTGGATGGGGTTTGAAAAGAGCTTTCCAACGATATATTATAAGCCCAAATCCGAGTTATAACGAATAAGTTATTGCCAAAATATTAAACTAGCCGAAACCGAACCTAAGCCCACCTTACTTACGACCCAATGATCATGTGGAGGGTCCAAATGATTTAATCCAATTCCTAAACCAATTAGGATTAATTGGAAGCTTCTATAAGTTTCTAAAAGATCTTAATTATCCTTTTTGAAAAGATAAGATTAAAGAGTTTGAAATTGAATAAAACTCCTTTTTTTGAAAGTCCTAATTTTATCCGAATTGAAAGACATTCAAAGATATACAGATATTATTTTCGTTCCTAATAGTTTTTATCTGAAATTTTATATGGTTGGATAGCCCTTGAAATTATCTTTCCAATGATATATTATAATATCAATTCCGAGCTATAACGAAAAAGATATGAATAAAATGTCAAACTCTATCCAAAACTGATATCGTCTCACTATTTCAGCTATATCTTTTGTTCTACGAAATATTTTGATCTGATTCTAATTGAGTTAGAAAGTAGACTTCAAGAGCTTTCCAACGATATCTTATTCATCTTATTCCAATTTCTGGATCAAAAGATATGATAAAAACATAAACCGCAAAAACTGATGTCTATCGCAAGAGTTTTAATCCGATTCGAACTCGATCTTTTCTTGATTCTTCGACCTTTTTTTTCCCTATAAATAGAGGTCATATCACTCCTTTTTCAATCATCAACAAGCTTGATCATAAAATAATTCTCTTCTCCCTCTTTAGCCTAAATACTATCCACCCTATTCTCTCAAAATACTTCTTCTAAGCACTCCAAGGAGTCTAACTGAGGGTTTGGACCAAATCAAATCTATATTAATTTAATTTAATTTTCATTTGATTTATATTTTTATTGAAGTTATTAACAATTTATTCATGATGTAGCAATTCAAGGAAACGCGGAAAGTGAGTAATTAATTCACTTAATTACTCTTATTATTTTATATTGCTAGTATCATGATTAGGTTAATTTATATTTGATTTGACTAACGCTATTATTGTTGAATTACTTCCAATATTAATGTTTATTCTATTGTTATTATTGATCACAATATTGCATGTTTAAAGAGAATATGTAATTGAAGATCACGCCTAATAAGATATTTTGGACAACCGGTTTAGGTTCCTTTTTAATCTTGTTATTAATTAAAGTGATCACTAATATTTTAGAATTATATGTTGCATTAATATTCAACCAATTTAGCATAATAATAGTTTGGAGCGAATTGAATATTTTGTTTGTATGCCTTTAAGATCGCAGGAATCATTTTTCACTATAAGAATCGAGTAGAGGCCAATACGGGCGAATGTGACTCCATGACTCACTTCGTACCATCATCCCCGATCCTCCTTTCGTGGTTCCGAACCATATGGAGTTAGTAATCTCATGGATTATGAATGGGGTGTAACCTTCACGGGTCAATCGTTGTTGCCTTCGTTGTCCCTTATTCGTGGTTGCCTTAAATGATCCGTGAACGGTTTACAAGTTCCTTAAAAAAAACTTGTTGGCGGCTCCCTACTTTCCTTGTCCCTAATCGTATTATGTCAATTCCCACTTCCTATGAGTGTCAAGCATATTCACACATGCTCTAATGTAGGCGCACTTCAAGTGACGCCTACACTATGCTACCCCTAGTTAGAATTCCTGGATCCGCCACTGTATATACTTATCACTAATTCTACACCTTTTTCAAGTTGGACTTGGGATAAAGTCACAAGTTCTAACTTGACACTAATAAAATCATGTTGTTGAGAAGGTAATGATTTTGTAAGAATGTCAGCAAGCTGAAGGGTGAATTTCACATAATAAATGGAGATGAAATCCGCATCTATATTCTATCTAATATAGTAGCAATCAAGTTTGAGATGCTTTGTTCTTTCATGATAAGCTTGATTTTCTGCAATGTATTGTGCAGATTTGTAATCACAAAACAAAGTGATATGCGGAGAAACATCAATATTTAAATCTTCAAAAATCCCTACAACTCATGCCAATTCACTAGTAGTTTGGGACATGGTTCGAAGATCAGCCTTGCATGATGACTTAGATACAACTTTTTGTTTCTAGGTCTTTCAAGAGATTAAGAAAGTTCCCAAAAAAACATGAACCCTGTAAGAAGAGACCTGCCATTATGCGCGCAACTCCCCCAATCTGTATCACTGTAACCAAATAAAATGTGTTCGTTTTGTCTAGAAAAAAACAACCCCAAATCTGTTGTCCCTTTTAGATATCGGACCACATGTAAATCAGCATTGAAATGAGGTTTTCTAGGACAACTAACATACTGACTTAACTGCTGAACTGAGAAGGTTAAGTCGGGTCTTGTTAAGTTCAAGTATAATAGACTTCCAACTAGTCTTATGTAAGACTCAGGATCCTCAAATATCTCTCCTTCATCATTGTCGAGCTTAGTTCCTGTAGGATAAAGAAATTTAGTTGTAACGCAATCTTGCATTCCTACATCTTTCACTATATCAAGTGCATATTTTCTTTGATTGATCATTGTCCCTCTGTCACTCCTTGCTACTTTAATGCCAAAAAAATATCTTAATTCTCCCAGATCCTTTACAGAGAAATCTAAATCCAATATCTTCCTCATTTCTTCTATTGACTCTTCCTCATTGCCTGTGAATATCAAATCGTCTACATATACCAGGATTATACAACTTCTTTTTATGTTTCTCTATGATAAAATTGAGTTATCTCTTTGACATTGTTTGAATTTGTGCTCAAACAATAACCTTTTTAATTCCAGTGCATGCATCTACATCTAGATCTTTATTTTCAGCATTCAGCTTCTCTAACCTCTCCGAATCTCCAACTATCATCAATTTATATAATCCTCCTTTCTCCTTCCCATATACTTATCTCTAATTCTACAATGATAAATTCCATAGTAAATTCATTTTAATTAATTAAATTTATTTATTTTATGATAGTTAAAAAGAAAAGTTTAAGCAACTATTACTTTTTTTTTTTGATGTTGTAATAAAAACAAGCTTATGACTAATGTCAAATTTTAACATATTTTAATTTGGGATCAAGATTTTGTTGTTATATACTTATATAAGGTTAATATATCAGTCGGAGTTAACATGTAGATCAGATCGTGATGTAGAGTATGTTACAATGTAACATTTTTACCATCTAATATATAATGAACTAATATTTAAACCGCTATGCTCCAATGGTAAGCTACAAAGGCTTGTAGCTTGCTTTGCCATGTCAACTTTTAGAGCTATAACCTTTTTAAGCTACAAAGTACTCCAATGGTAGTTGTAGCTTGATTTGCCACATCAATATAATTGTAAAACTTAAAAAAAAAAACACTATGAAACGTGAAAGATACATATTACAATCATTACATTACGAGTGAATTTGTTACGTGAGACCTATTATCTTGTAAACTCCTATTAGAAAAAAAAAATCTTCTCACCAAAAAAAGTCAATATCACTTATCTATATGTCAGTTGATAATGATGAAAATAATATTTTAATATTTATTTTTTTTAGAAAAAGATAAAAAATGATATTTTTAATTTAAATTATAAATGTTTAATATTTTCAAGCAGTGTAGCTTAACTCAGCAACACTGCTCAAGATAACAGGTACTTCAATAGTGCTCCAATGGTTAAGCAACACTTTTATTATTTTTCATATCTGCAAGCAAGTCCTTAAAAAACACCATTGGAGATGCTCTAATATGTAATGTTCAGTATAAATGTATAGTATGATGATAATAACCTCATTACCTCAATATTAATTTCTCATTTACTCCGTACTTTACTATTACAAGTATTTCATATATTAATACATGCTATGTATTGTACAATATAAACTACAATACTCTCAGCTAGACTTGGTTATTAATGGTCTTCAAAAAAAAAAAAAAAAAAAGACTTGGTTATTAATGCAGGTCACGAGTTAGTAATGGGCAGACCAACAAACTATTGAATAAAATAAATATTGAACAAAGCTATAATTAAGTATATGTGAATACGAAAATATGTATAAAAATGCTTTACATATTTTTTTTTGACTAGTTACATTATCTATTTTCTTTATGTATTAAATTGGACAAATATTTTCGTCCTATATTGACCATACCCAATAAGGGTCTTGTCCAATGAAGACTCTTTCAATTAAATAACCTATAATCTTGGTCCTGACCCGACCTATTATTATTGGGTTACTTTGTTCATTAACCGGGTCTACTCTCAGACTCCCAACACATATTTAATTAGTCATTTACGTAACCCTTAACTTCAATATAATATGTCAAATGTAACCCTTCACTAATACATAGGGATCTTTCTTCTATCATTGTAGAATTAGAGATAGGAAAATTTGTCTAAAACTACCCGGAAGATAGGCTGTTTTGTTAACAACTACCCATTTTTTTTATTTGTTTACAACTACCCGCAAGATTGAAAACGTTAGGGTAGCACTACCCAATAACGTTTTCCGTCCAATTTGAACGTTATCTGGGCCCACATGTTACTTTTCCCACCCAAATTACTTCCCCCCAACTACCTTTTCTCTCTCCTCTTCAAATGCTTCTTAATTTTCCCTCTTCTTGATTTCTAGGGTTAAGGGATTCAATTGAATCCTAGGGTTGATTCAATTAGGGGGTTTGGAGGCATTTTTTTTTTTAGTTTTTATAACAAATTGACTGTGTTAATTGTTAATTGCTAGGACGTCGAGTTCATCATACCACTCCTCTATGCAATATCACCCCAACAAGTGCAATTGTGGCATTTCACCAAAGCTGGAGACGTCATGGACTACCAAAAACCCTGGGAGAAGATTTTTGGCTTGTAAATTCTATGATGCTGCATCTGGTAGAAGAGGATGCAAATTTTTCAAATGGTTTGATGAAGATATACTTGAGTGGCAGAGGGTTGTTACTAATCAACTAGTGTTGGACAAAAAGCTGATGCAAAATGAGATAGGTTTGCTGAAACAACAAGTTTGCATGCTTCAAGATCAAAAGGCAAGGGTGGAGAGTGAAAAAGAGAGATTGACCAAGAAATGCAAGGCACTCTCTGCTGTAGTGAAGAAAGCAAAGGCAGGTGACTGTGGTGGGATTTCAGCACTAATGCAGCTAGTTATAGTTGTTGCAATTGGAATAATGTTAGCTTATTTAGGGAAGGCAATGATGTATTAGGCAATTTAGTAATGATTGGTATTACATTTGCACTGTATGAGTGACAAATGTCACAACTTTTGGAATGTAAGCATAGTGCAAATGTTAACCTTTATCTAAGTAGGTTGTATTATTGCATTTAAAATGAAATGAAATTATGCTTTGCTGACTTCCTTTTGCAAATGTAAAATATGTCATATTTGTTGCACAATTATAAAAACAAAGCCTTGCAATTCAAATTCCAAAATAATTACAAAGGCAAAGTAGATTTGTTCATCATCACTTTTTAAAATGTAGGCTACACATCAATTTAATTCAAGGTAAAAGTACATGTAGCCAACTAATTATAGAAAGATTGTTCTCAAAAGACACACAACAACACAAAAGCACAAAGTCCTATTCTAGGGCTTCCACACTGGCTGATTCTTCAATTTTGACCTAATTGGTAGCTTGGCTGATGCAGATGCTGCCTTGGACTTCATTGTGCCACCTGATTTAGGCTGGGATTGGGTTGGCTGGGTTGCTTGACTAGGCTGGGTAGCTTGACTTGGTTGGGTTGATTGAGTTGGCTGTGGTGGAGCTACACCCTGTGAGCTTGCCTGAGTAGGAGCAGCTTGGGATGTGGATGCCCTAGTTTCAGGGTTAATCTTACCCTGACAGACAAAACAACAACACAAACCTAATTAGAACATGTCATAATAAGTAACTAGACAATGCACAAGCAAACTTTAATCTTCACATACCTTTTCACAGCTCTGTCCCAATTTTTCTTTCTTTGAAGTACATTCCAAGGCTCCATTGATGGAGGTCTGCCACCTTTATCAACCTCTTTGGGTGGTGCTTGGTTTTTGCACTTGTTCTTGTAATGGCCTGGGACTCAACAGTTATAGCACTTTGGTGCTTTCTTAGGCTTTTGGGATGACTCAGCTCCTTCCCTTTCACCCTTTTCTTGTTTCCTTTTCTTAAGGGAAGGTCTTCCTGGCATTTTTCTCATGACAGGTGGTATAGGTTGTAGCAAGTCAGTCCTCTTTTCCCATTGTTTCATACCAGGCATTGGTCTGATACTTGGAGTGTATGCCTGCAGGTATGACTCTTTGCTGTAGAAATCATCCACAAAGTTCTCTGGCCTGAGTCTTTTCTTTATTATCACAACCCAAGCATGTGCACAAGGGATCCCAATGAGCTCCCATCTATAACATGTGCAACTTTTCTCAACCAGATTCACCACAAACCTATCACTGTAGTAATCCACTTCCCAAATGTCCAGCATGGAAGGGATTACATGACAGTTGGCAGCCAAACTTGACACAAATTGGAACTTCTTGGACACATAAGGCATAAATCTGCCTTCATGACTTTGAACACCCTCCCATTTCAGAGTGTTCCTCTTCATGACATACCTCCTAATCCATTCAAGACAAGTGATTATAGGTTTGTCTCTAGCTTCCTTCAAAACAGCATTGAAACTTTCACATATGTTGTTTAACAACATATCAGATTTGCTGAAAGTAGAAAATGCATATTTAACCCAATGTCTAGGAGGAATTGAAGCTAAATAGTAGAATGCATCTTCAGAAAGCTCTTTGATCTTTAGCATATTCACTTCATAATTAGCCTAAAAATGATTAAAATGAGAAATTGATATGTAAACATTGTGCAATTTAATCAGCCTAAAATTTGATTAAAATGAGAAATTGATATGAGAAATTAATATGTAAACAAAGTTACAAAGCAGAACCCTTGTTGTTGACCTTGCTGACTTCCAAAAATACTCTTTGAAAGCTTCACCACCAAGCTTGAGCTTAAAATTGGCCCAAATGTGCCTTACACAAAACCTGATTTTAGCATCAGGAACCACAACAGCAAAAGCTTCCAGTAGTCCCTGTTAACAGAAAAAGTAATCAATTTCACAACTATTGGCCACATGTTCAAAGTGTAAGGCAATAAAAACAACAAGCAAAGTACCATTTTCCTGTCTGACATCAAAGTAAGGCCCTTCCCCCTTGGTTTGTCAATGTCTTTGATTAGGAGCTCCAAGAACCATATCCATGAATCCTTGTTTTCCACTTCAACCACTGCCCAAGCAACTGGGTAGATATTATTGTTACCATCCAAACTGACAGCAACTAGTATCATACCAGGGAAAGCACCCTTCAAATGACACCCATCCACTCCAATCACAGGCCTGCAGCCCCTCTTGAACCCAAATTTGCATGCTCCAAAACACACATACATCTTCTGAAAAATGGGGGGAGGGTTTTCAATCCCTTATAACACCACAATGGCTGAAGAACCAGGGTTGTGTTTAAGCAAAGCCAGCCCATAATCACACACCCTTGTATACTCCTCAGCAGAATCTCCATACAAAGTTAACTTAGCCCTTGCCCTAGCAAACCAGGCCTTATAGTATCCAATATGAACCCCTAAATCCCTGTAAACCCTCTCTATGAACACTTTCAGCTTCCAAGTAGGGTCAGATCTCCATTCATCTAGGTATCTATCAGCCAAATACTCAGATGTAACTTTGGAACTCTCATGGTGAAATCCACAAGTGTGGTTCAAGTTCAAATTTCTGATTTGGAGAGTATTCTCCATTCTTGGCTGCCTCAACAGAATCCTAAATTTACACTTGTTCTCTGACTTACAAGAACAAATTATCTTCCCATGCTTCTTGTCCCATGGGCAACCACATTTTTTTTCTACAATACACACTCACCTTACTCTTCCCATTATGCAAAAAATAATAATCATAATTGTTTTCAATGCTATGACACCTAATTGCTTTTCTAATAACTTCAACAGTAGGGAAATTTAACCCTTTCACAAAGCTTATCTTTCTTTTGAAATCAACCTCAGGATTAAATGTGGGATTGGGATCTACCTCATCATCTGATCCTTGAAGAGACCTAAGCTCTTTTGAGTCATATTCCACCTCCACAGCATCACCTCCATTGAATTCTTCCTGCCTAAACTCTGGTTAAGTTGTTTTCTGGTCAGCTTCATCTTCTAGGATGTCTTCTCCTTCAACAGCAAAGTCTGGATCTAAATCTGACCACTCAGATTCATCAGACCACTCTCCCTCCCCACTCCAATCCTCCCTATCAACACCTAGCTCAGTCACTCTTTTTTATTTTATCTTTCTGTCAACCTTTCCTTTACCCTTACCCTTACCCTTACCCTGAGCCTTAACTTGCTTACCCTTTTTTGCTACACTTTTCTTTGACTTTCCCTGTGAACAAAGTGTTTTCTTCGTAGGGGTAGGTGTTTTTAGAGGGGATGAGCTGCTAGGGTTCACTGAAGGAAAAGAAGAAGAACTGGGCATGTGTGTTTCTTTTTGTGGACTAATAGACAAAGTAGGGGGAGGGATTTTTGTGGATACCAATGGGCATTGGTGTAGCTGGCTGACATGGGTTTCAAACTCAGCTTGGGAAATGACAACAGCATCACCATCATCACCATCATCAATATCTAGTTTGCCTTTTTTGGGGGATAACCTCAAACTCCACCTAACTGGCTTCACTTCTTGTTTGATGGGCTTCAATTTTTTGTTAGGTGGCAACAAAGAACTGTTTGAGGGTGGACTGGGCACAATTTTCTGTTCTGGTTTAGGTGTTATAGAAGGTACAAAGCTTGGGTTCTTTGTCCTTGGACCTAGGTCATGTTGTAAAGGCTAGATAGGGTTTGGTTTCTCAATTAAGGCCCAAACTATAACTCTATCATTCAGATCCCTACTGTTGACCAAATTGATAATGTCATCAAGTGTCTCCATCTTCCTCTTTCCATTTGTTAAGTTCCTGCCATGTAATCTGTACCACACACTAAAATGTTGGGGTACCCTACAACACACTATATCATATGCATATATCACCCACTTCCTCAAATTCACAACATTCAGTTCCTTCAACCAACAACTCATCCTCATAAACATCCCTCCACCAACATACTCAGTCTTACCCTTGCTGTATTGAAATTCACCCCTAACCCATATATTCATATCAACATAGGGTGGAAGCTCCCTAAAACAGTGAAAAAAGCAATTGTTCAATATCAACAGCAACATGCACAACTATCTAAGTCAGTAAAACCAAAAAAACCAACTTGCAAAAAAAAAAAAAACAGGGCAAAGCAACCAACCAAAAAATGCACATTTCTCAGAGCTCAACAACATCCTAAATTACAACAATTAGTTTGTTTTTAATTAATTATATGTGATAAAGCGTTTGATTTGTTTAATTGTACAGCCAATTTTGTCAATTAAAAAATTAGGGTTCCAATTTCGAGTATTAAAAAATTTAGGGTTTCACATTTTTTTCCATTTTTAATTGAAAAGGACAGAAATTTATGGTCAAACCACCAATGTACCTTGAAGGTCTTCCCTTTGCTGCAGTCAATTGAGTATTTACCGAGCTTTCCCCTTTGTCCATTTCTGTAGTTTCACCGAGTTACTTCAGCATACCCAAAAAAGCAAGAAGATGACTTGGAAGAGAGAGAGAAGGCAAAGACAGAGATGGTAGGGCTGAGAATTTCAGAAAAAGGGGTAAAGATGATGGAGATTATTCGCTGCTTAGGTCAGATTTGTTGAACTTCAATTGAAGAGAGTAAAAGAAGAGAGTGAGTGATAATGGAGGGAGATTTAAGAGGAGAGAGAAAAGGTAGTTGGGGGGAAGTAATTTGGGTGGGAAAAGGTAACATGTGGGCCCAGATAACATTCAAATTGGACGGAAAACGTTATTGGGTAGTGCTACCCTAACGTTTTCAAACTTGCGGGTAGTTGTAAACAAATAAAAAAAATGGGTAGTTGTTAACAAAACAGCCTATCTTCCGGGTAGTTTTAGACAAATTTTCCTATCTCTAATTCTACAATGATAAATTCTTTAGTAAATTCATTTTAATTAATTAAATTTATTTATTTTATAATAGTTAAAAAGAAAAGTTTAAGCAACTATTACTTTTTTTTTTATGTTGTAATAAAAACAAGCTTATGACTAATGTCAAATTTTAATATATATTTTAATTTGGGATCAAGATTTTGTTGTTATATACTTATATAAGGTTAATATATCAGTCGGAGTTAACATGTAGATCAGATCGTGATGTAGAGTATGTTACAATGTAATATTTTTACCGTCTAATATATAATGAACTAATATTTAAACCGCTATGCTCCAATGGTAAGCTACAAAGGCTTGTAGCTTGCTTTGCCATGTCAACTTTTAGAGCTATAACCTATTTAAGCTACAAAGTACTCCAATGATAGTTGTAGCTTGATTTGCCACATCAATATAATTGTAAAACTTTTAAAAAAAAAAATAAAAAAAAAAATAAAAACACTATGAAACGTGAAAGATACATATTACAACCATTACATTACGAGTGAATTTGTTACGTGAGACCTATTATCTTGTAAACTCCTATTAGAAAAAAAAAAATCTTCTCACAAAAAAAAAAGTCAATATCACTTATCTATATGTCAGTTGATAATGATGAAAATAATATTTTAATATTTATTTTTTTTGAACAAGATAAAAAATGATATTTTTAATTTAAATTATAAATGTTTAATATTTTCCAGCAGTGTAGCTTAACTCAGCAGTACTGCTCAAGATAACAGGTATTTCAATAGTGCTCCAATGGTTAAGCAACACTTTTATTATTTTTCATATTTGCAAGCAAGTCCTTAAAAAACACCATTAGAGATGCTCTAATATGTAATGTTCAGTATAAATGTATAGTATGATGATAATAACCTCATTACCTCAATATTAATTTCTAATTTACTCCGTACTTTACTATTACAAGTATTTCATATATTAATACATGCTATGTATTGTACAATATAAACTACAATACTCTCAGCTAGACTTGGTTATTAATGGTCTTCAAAAAAAAAAAAAAAAAAAAGACTTGGTTATTAATGCAGGTCACGAGTTAATAATGGGCAGACCAACAAACTATTGATTAAAATAAATATTGAACAAAGCTATAATTAAGTATATATGAATACGAAAATATGTATATAAATGCTTTATATATATATATATATATATATATATATATATATATATATATATATATATATATATATATATATATATATATATATATATATATATATATATATATATATATATATATATATATAGGAAGAGGATCATGTAAAAACAAGATTAAATCTGAAAACTGAAAACGGTTAATCTAGATCGTTGATTTCTATCTAACGGATGAGATCATATATGCCTTCTACGAAGTACTTCGTACTTCATAATAATTTAATTGGTTCAAATAACATTTCATTCTCTCTCCTCTATTATGCCGTATGTTTCTTTTCTCTCTCCTCCATAATCTCTTGATTTTTTCTCTCTCATCTCACTCATTCTCTCCTTCCAACTCAAAATAAATGTTAAACTCATCAAATTTCAGTGGATTTTGCTTCAAGCTTTAATAATTTTGACGTTAGCTTTAAAGGTGAATCTCACAAGTGACTTTTTCATTGATATTTTTTGTTTAATTTTTTTATTTTCTACATTTATGTTTAAAATCAAACTGATTTTTTCAATCTAATTTTCAAAATCGTAGGAGTAATTACAATTTATTTGAGCTTTTTCACGTCTATTTGAGTTTCATATCAGTGCAATTTTGATAAAATTGAACTTAATTTCTTGGTATTATTTGTTTTGGGTCGATGATATGATTTTCTAATTTACACCTATATATAATGTTTTTGGATAAACTAGGTTGATATTCGTTTGATTATTATGTTTAATATGATTTATAATTTTTCTATTTATGTATCGAATTTGATTTCTAGGTTTTGCAATTAGAATTTTGATATTCTTTTACGGTTGATGGTCTTTGCTTAGGTGGCTACTCGTGGTGTGGTTCGGGAGTTTCTACTACTCGGATCGGTGTTTGGTAAGCGGTGCAGTAGTCGAGATTTGGTGCGGTGGCGAGCTGATGGTTGCAGGGTGGTCCGATGGTAACTGGTTGTGCGGTTGGAGGTACAGTTACTTGAGTGATAGGCTTACATGTAGTAACTTTGTCCTTGATTGGGCTCTGTTCTTAGGGACAGTGTGGGGTATGTTCTTTGCTGCGGGGTAGCTCAGGGTCCTGAGAAGTGGGATACGAAGGTAGCAGAGGCCAATGAAATTTTATGGGGTCTGAAGTTAGCGCTGGACGAAGGCATTGATAAGTTAGTGGTTGAAACTGGAAAGTGATTGCTTGGGTTTAATTCAAGATATGCGTGCTCAACCCAGTGGCTTAAGTTCATTTCATTTAATTGTTGATGATATTTTAGAGTTCTAGTTTTAGTAGTATGGTCAAAATTGAAACAGTTACCCAATTTTTGTATATAGCGACCTCTATGTAAATGCCGTCAAATTGATATAGTTACCCTATTTTTGTATATAGTGACTTCTATGAATAGGATCAAAATTGGTATAGTTACCCTATTTTTGTATATAGTGACAAATGTTGTAAAAATTGATATAGTTACCCTATTTTTGTATACAGTTACGTTATTTTTATATATAGTGACTCTACGTTATTTTTTTTTTTTTTAAACCGTTAGATCTTGTTAGTAACAATGGATGGTTGAGATTTTCTGTTTTTAGTTTTCACTATAAGCCCTGTTTTCAGCGGAACCTCCCCGTATATATATATATATATATATATATATATATATATATATTGACTAGTTACATTATCTATTTTCTTTATGTATTAAATTGGACAAATATTTTCGCTCTATATTGACCATACCCAATAAAGTCTTGTCCAATGAAGACTCTTTCAATTAAATAACCTATAATCTTGGTCCTAACCCGACCTATTATTATTGGGTTACTTTGTCCATTAACCGGGTCTACTCTTAGACTTCCAACACATATTTAATTAGTCATTTACGTAACCCTTAGCTTCAATATAATATGTCAAATGTAACCCTTCACTAATACATAGGGATCTTTCTTCTATCTTAACAACAATAATTTGTAACATTAAATTTGTCTATATCTTGAAGTAAATTAATTTATTAGCAAAGAAGGCATGAAATGAATAGTCTAAGAGCAAGATGAATTATGGTATGAGAATCATCGAAGAAGCTAAATAATAAGTGGCAGCTTCAGATTGATGTTATGTACTTATCTTTGGACTCACTCTCACTTTTTCACATGTTTACTCTGCTATTTCTTATTCTCATTGCACCCCAGCAACTCAACAAACGGCTGCTGCAGTCGCTAATTATTGAATAATTTGAATTTTTATTTTAAAATTGGATGCTACTCTTAGATATCATTATTTATGATATTATTTGTTTTAGATTTCCTCATATACTGATATTCAATGGCTTACAAAATTTTCTTATTCATGAATGTATTTATGTAACAACTATGTATGGATATTATTGTTGTGTTATACTTTGCTCGTCACATCAATGCTTTCTCTTTAATTATCTTGATTTGTGCACCAACATAATTACTTTCTCCGTTCTTTTATACTTAACCTGCTTTGACTTTTACACTATTCATCACCTCTCATTTGACCGTGTTTTGTGAATAATATGTAAGGAAAAACATATTTATATTGTATCATTGAATTCGTCTCAACAACTACTATCATAATATATAACTTTTATATTTTTTAATTATGGAGAATTGAAGTTATTAACCGTTAAAGTTTTGCATTGGCAAGCGTAATAAAAGAAACATGTCAAGTAAAAAAGAACAGATAAAGTAATATATTAGGAAATAATTTAAAAGTATAAGAGTTGCAATGTGGTATATATGGAGATCACTAACTTAGAAACAAAATACGCCATCACATATGTGATTTCTAACTTCCAAGTGATGAACACCTTGTAGTCAAGTCTAGCAACAAAAGAAAACAAGAAAAGCACACTAACGAACCAACTAGAAAAAAGCGTTAGATCTGTTTAAAATGAGATAATAATCTGGATTCAAAATAAGACACATGTATGTAATACAGTAAAAGTAGACAAGTTATCTGTTTAAAATGAGATAATAATCTGGATTCAAAATAAGACACATGTATGTAATATAGTAAAAGTAGACAAGTTATTGTAAAGAGTTCAACATATCAATCAACTAAACATATCTCAATACAATAAATCCATCTTTATCTATTAACTACCAAACATAATTGTTACTAAACTATACCATAGAGTAGTTTTACAATCAAACTTGTAGTATAGTTAAAGCTATAAAAAGACAATAGCCCATGAAACATTAGCATGGTAATTAGGTAAAGAAAAGCTTAGAAGGAAAGTCATTAGATAATCAACAACTTGGTTTGTGTTTCCCTTTTTCTTTTGGATTAACTTGCATGAACCATGATCCATCATCCAACCTAAGCTAGTGTACCAGACCAACTGGGTCCTCCTCCCATAATCAAATCCTTCTTCTACTACTACTTGTATTCTACTAACATATTTTTAAAATAAATAAATAACAAAAATTTAAAAATTAAATTCCTAAAGTCATAAAAGACGACTCATAATTTCACATATATTCTCTTATACATAACCATTCCCCACCTTTCTTTTTGTTTCCCGCCCTTTAAACACAACTTTTTTTTGGCACCTTCATTTCCGGCTATAATCTCAAAAACACACCCAAAATAAAGGTCAAAAATCACTCACTTTGATTGTTTTTGCTTCTCTTTACTCTTCACTAAATCTTTGTATTTTTTTTTTTTTTGCCATTTTCGTAACGAAAACTTTGTAAAATTCCTCATGTTTAACACATTTTTCTTTATCCAAAGATAAAAATAGCAACCCAAATTATATATGGATTGCATCAAACAACCTTCATCTAATGAATCAACAAGAAGCAAAATTTCGAAAACGTTTTCGAAATGTATACACCCTCAAACCCCATCAAGATTTCCTCCAAACCCAAAACTTAGAACCCTTTCTGAGGAGCTTAACATTAGTTTAAAAGACTTTAAATCCGAACCGAAATTAACCCGAACCAAATCCCAGAGATCCAACTCTGGTGATCTTGCACAACAAGAGCAAGCAGCTAGAAATAAAGCCGCTAAAGAAGCTCTTGTTGCAAAACTCTTTGCTAGTTTGTCGTCGCTTAAAGCTGCTTATGCTGAGCTACAAAGTGCACAGTTTCCTTACAACAATGATGCTATACAGTCAGCTGATGAGGCTTTAGTAAGCGAGTTAACTGTATTGTCTGAGCTAAAACAGAGGTATTTGAACAAGAAATTGGATCTTCCACCACCCCATGTTACCAACTTATTGGCAGAGATTCAAGAACAACAAAGCAACATCAAAACATACGAGATCACAATGAAGCAATTGGAGTGGAAAATGGAACAAAAAGACTCCGAAATCGCCTCGTTAAGGAAGAAACTAGAGGATACAACAAAGACGAACAAATCTTTGGAAAAGCGCTTGAATTCAAGTGGGGTATTATTCCCTCTTCCGAATAACACCCCACTTAATGAATTAAATCAGTGTCACTTCATTCGAGTTCTTCATTTTGTTCTAAGGTCATTGAGGCATTTCGTCAAACAGTTGGTGCGCGAAATGGAAGTAAAAAACTGGGACATTGATTTGGCTGCGAAAGCAATCGAACCAAACGCCAAGTTCGTCAAATCAAAGCATTCAATATTTGCATTCGAATCGTACGTTTCCCAGGTAATGTTTGACGGGTTTAATCATCATACTTTTTACCTCCCAGATGAGGGGACCAAACAACCCTTAAAACCCCAGATTTTCTTCGAAAATTTCAGAAAACTTCAATCTTTAACACCATCTCAGATTTTTACACAAAACCCAAGATACCCTTTTGCGAAATTTTGCAGAGGGAAGTATCTAAAATTGATGCATCCAAAAATGGAGTGTTCATTTTTCGGAAATTTAGATCAAAGAAAAGTGGTAAGTTCAGGGGCATTTCCGGCAACAGAATTCTTCTCTCTCTTCGCAGAGATGGCACGAAGAGTGTGGCTGCTTCATTGCTTGGCCTTCAGCTTCGATCCGCCGGCGGTAGCTTTTCAGGTGAGAAAAAATTGCCGTTTTTCAGAGGTTTATATGGAAAGTGTCGCCGGAGAAGATGACGTCATCTCCGGCGATGTGACGGCGGCGTTCACGGTGGTTCCTGGGTTTAAAATTGGTAAAACGGTGGTTCAGAGTGTCGTTTATCTTTCTCCGGCAAAGCGATAAGGTACACGCGCGGCGTAATTTTTAATTATTTTAGGGTCTTTTATTATCATGGGTAGGTAATGTATAAAAAAAATTTAAAAATGAAAGGAAAAAAAAATTGCTAAATTTGGCATAATTAGTTGTCTACCATTTTTTGCAAATAAATATGATTAATGATTAATGTGGTAGTAGTAACTAGTAAGGCAAGTAGCAACGGTCCAATTTAAATTAGTTTGAATTGGTTGGCATATTTGTATAATGTTTAAAGTGTACAGTATGGTTAAACATTTTGTTCTAGTATTACTCAATAGGAAGAATGAATGTGGTTATATTACTGCATCAGTTGTATAATCTTAGTAATAAATTTTAGTTAAATTTCTCCTATATTTAGCCTTGATTTCAAATTTCCGTCTTTGAAATTTAGCGTGAATTAAACGAGTACAACATTAGCGTTATGTAAAATGTAATCTACAAAGTAAAACTTACACTTTATTTGCACCTTATAATATAAACAGTGGCTCGGATAATTTGTCCGCTTATTGCTGAGAGCGTGAGACAACATATCATATCATTGTCCGAACTTTATTTTCGAAAGGAAGGTAAAGTCTTATGCAAAGTGTAATTAAGAAGAGATCCTCTTGATCTCTAAGATCAACCATAGCTTTTCTAGAAGTATCTCTATAAAAAAAAGAGGGAAATGTCCTAGGTAGAATTACTTTTAAGGTAGTACAAATGTGAAAGTACAAAGAGTTAAGTAATAGTGGTAATAAATTAATAATTAATGAATATAATAGGGAAAAAATAAGGAGTAGTAATTTAATTAGGATGATTTAACCTTGGGAATGGACCTTTGATGATAGTGTCGCATTTGAAAGGTGCAAGTTTGGTCGTGGCGCGTGGGAGTAATGTAGGGCCATAATATATGAAATCTGTCCAATTAAAAACCATGTTAGTGATGATTATGCAAAAGAAGAAGGGTGGACCCACACGAGGGGAAACTTGAAAGCGATGTGATCTGGATTATGTATGATTTCATGATGAGAGAAAGTGGAATACTCTCTGTTAATGTACTGTAAATTGTAAGATAATCTTGTGACATTAGTGTTTGGATACATGTACAACGAACGTACTCATGAATAGTGATGTACAGCTTTTTGAGTTTGTAGTATGTCACAAAAAAAAAAAAAAAAGCCCATAGGTACATGTGTTAGGTTGTGTCAACGTATTTCGTGTTTAAAATGATGATGTCTGAAACGAGATAAGAAAAAGTCATGTGAGCAGCGTTTAGAATGAAGATCATGCACAACTTGACCCACGTTCCGTAATGTGTTGGGCCAGTGACCCCCCTTAGTATGCATGGCCACGACCTTTCGGACTAACACTTGAGGTGGCCATTTTATTCATGTCAAGCCTAATTGTCCTTCATGCTATCCTAACCCTCTTGTGATAAGATTTACACCTTTTAAATTTGAAAATAGGATAACTTGCAAGTGACCGCTTGGAAATCCTTTTAGCCTTCCTCAATTGAAGTATGTTACTCACTAACTTGTGCGAGGCTGCATATGATTACAACAATTCTTATACCCATGACCTATAATGATTACTTAAGGTTTCAATTACATACCAGCTGTAAGATAGATTGTGAATTTGTGACCCTAACATATACACATAATTGTCTGATGTCATATGGAATCGTTGTTTTAATGAAGATAATATCTAAATATTTTAGCAATCAAATTAATAATTGAACTTCTCCTTTGATATTTAGTTGCTCAGATCTTTGATTCTTCTCATGCTTTATTATACTCCATACATTGTTCCATACTATGTGTCCCTAGATGGCTCGAATCATGAGATGTTGAGATCCCAAGTTTAGCGCTTCATAAATTTGAAATTTTATGCATTTGTTATTTGCATGTTTTTGCATGATGTGGGGTTTGTGTTCAATTAATAGTACACTTAGTCAAAACTTGACATCAAAAGTCCTCCTTTTCTTTCAAAATTGAAAGTGAAATAATAATATTGAACAAAATTGGATTCATCTACTTACGAGATCATTCCTCCTATTCCGGAGAAGACGTGAGAAAACATGCAGATAATTTATTCTAACCAAGATTAGAAATTAAACCTAAGTTACAACCATCCAAATAATACATAAAGTATAACAAATCTTTTAAATTATAGTGTTAAATAATGAATAGTTGAGTTCTCGAGAAAAAGGAATTAAGATACTGCTTATTTATACTATAGTGACAATAGTGGGTTTTATTCTCTAGTTATAGCAAGATATAAACTTTTTGGTCGCTAACTTACTTTAGGTTTAGTATTAATTAATGGTCTAATGGATACAAGTCGATTCCATATACTTGTAGAATGTAAGATCTTGTGACAATATGAAGTGGAGCTAGTGAAACATTTTTGTTTTGTACGTAGCATGAAAAAAAATGAGAGTTGAAATCAATAATGTAAATTGAATTGATGAAACATTTTAATATTCTGTAATATGGTGCGTTCTTTTTATTTAAACATAGTTTATTTAGATGGATCTTGCTAATTAATTAACAAACTCTCCCTGAGCGTTAGATAATAAACATTTAAAATATTTCATACAGTGATATTAATTGGGAATGCATGGCAAAATCACACGTCGAATTAGTCTAATTAATGCTCATTCTAATTTAATATTTTTACTTTTGATTATCTTATCCAACGCCCTTAGAGCATTCGTTAGCTTTTGCCTATTTAAATTTAATCAAACTTAAGTTAATTTTCATCTAATTAAACTTGCTTGATTAGTACGTCATAATTATACTTAATTATTCTTGATTAAGTCTTATCTTTTTAATGTGAATAGAATACTCGATTCATTAGTATTTTCTTGTAGAGAAAAGCAATTGATTAAATACGACTAAATTGAAAAAAAAAAGTTCAAATAAACATGAGTACGCTTTACAATCATTAGTACTTGTATAACAAATGCTATACGGGGTATATATCAACATTCCATGGAACCCCACTATTTTGTTTGTTTTCTGCAAAATTATAATTTGCATAAAATTGTACACAATCAAAATGCAAAATTGGCAAGTGTGTGGCTAAAACACAAAGAAATGAATGAATGAATGAATGAATGATGATGGTAAATGGCTTAGGTTAGATTGATGTCTTTCATAGTTGCTACAAACCCAAACATGTGTATATGATGATATCAACTGAAAGATGCAGGAACGTGCATGAGTCCTTCTGACAATTGACAAACAAACAAAGAAAAGACAAATTCAAGTGGAAGATAGTCTCATTCATCTCACTAACAGTATAATAAATCTTTCACATGCTTTTTATTAATGAATCCGTTGTGCTCATCAATGCATGCACCATACTATTTACCTTATCTAGTCTGAAATGAAATGTTTATGAGAGAAGGAAATTAGAAACTAAACTGAATTGAACTGAAACTGAATTTCAACGTATGAAAACATGTCCTAAGTTTATACAATATTAGATTGGATGAATCTTTCTAAATGCAATAAGGTAAAATTAATAATAAATGATGAAGTAGTACAACACATTTTGAATTTAAGGTCTACAATTATTTAAAATTTCATGCATGATGATATTTTCGTTTTTACATCCAAAAAGGTTTGTATTGGATGTATTATGTAAATACACTTTTTTCATTGGACATCCAAATGTACTTCAAATCAACTCATCATTTTACATTTAAATATAACGTCAATTTCCAATATATTAACAAAAATAAGGGAAAATACAAGTTAATTTGGTAGATAAACGGATTTTTGTTAATCTGATGACATTTTTGTAAATATATTGAAAAAGCAGGGTCATTTATTCAGTACTTTTGGTGAGCTGTCCAATTACTGTTTGCCTTTTGCTTTTACTGTTTGGTGAGGAAATTACACATGTACCCCTCAACTAGTACATAAAAAGACGCATATACCCCTCCATTGGTACTTGAAAAGACAATTGTACCCCCAGATAAACAAATATCCCTCCAAAAATAAAATGATGAATTATAATATAAAAGAGCTAGCATAATATAAAAAAATAAGGGCTACTTATTTTAGAGTAAGGAATATATATTTATTTTGTCACAGAATAATTAGGTTAAAAATACAGGTTTGGGCTGCACTTGCAATCCTAAGAGCCCACTTCACAAAATCGAAGGAGATTTTATTCCAAAATCATACGGTAATAAGTTAATAACTAATAAGAGGAGTAGTCCTTTAATCTTATAAGGTGTTTAATTCTCTCTTCTTTTTCAATATAGGACACTTACGTATATTGTTTGAAAGGTTTTATACTCCATACTTCAACAATAAGCAAGTTTCATAGTACATTTCAAATTACATGCAATGATGTGTTTATAAATTACAATATGTCGTATTTAAATAGGAAGCATATAAATAGGGTAGTCATGTATTACCTCCGTTACATATTAGATGTAAATTTAGAGTATTATTTATAAGATATAAGAAATTCCAAATTTATAACTAATATGTAATGGTGATAGTACATCTGATAAATGTGGCCATTACTATTACATGGGACAAAGGAGCGGAGCAGACGATGGATTGGATATGAATGTACGTAGAATAGGAGAGCCATTTAAGGTCAAGGAGTTAATAATATTGTAGGTCTCGAGGATCCGATAAGATATTTAAATAGTGTTTTGATTCAATTCATTTTCGGCGCCTCAAGCTTGTCAGCTTTCACATTTTCTTCAACTGTTTCAAGTGGACTAAACAATTAATTGGATATTCTTCTTCAATTAACTACAATTCTTCGTAGGAATAATTTTGAAATAAGGCTACACAATAGGGTAACGGCTACTCGTAGACTCTGCATCAATGTTGTATATGTTTTGGGTGCTACAAGTACGTCTCAAACTGGTGTGAAATTAGGGCCGTTTCTAAATTTTGTGAGGCCTATGGGCAAACTATCAATTAGGGGCCCTTTAAATTTAATCATACATGCGATATGCACTAAAGATTTATTGAAAG